GGTCGGCGTGAGAGGCGAAATGCGATCGGAGTGATGTTGGGTGGCATCGGGTGGGGTCAGCGCGGGGTAGGGACGGGGTTGATTGAGGTCGGGGCGAGGGTGTGGGTGGAGAGGGTGACCGCCAGGGGTTAAAAGGGATGATTGGTGGGGTGGGATTAGGATAGGATCACGTGGAACGTAATTGGAAAACGGTTAGGTGGTATGATGGGATCAAAGCGGGACCGACGGGAGTCAGGATCGAATCAGAATAGGTAGATGTGGGAGGTAGAATGGGATCGAAATGGGGTCGGGAAGGGCTCGGGTGTGGTCGGAACAGAGTAGGGATGAGATTGATTGCGTTCGAAACGAAGGTGTGGGTGAAGAAGGTGCTAATCAGGACTCAAGACGGGTGATTGGTGAAGTGGGGCTAGAATGAGAGCATGTGAAATTGTAGTCGGGAAGGGGTCGGGATGCGTGGTACGAACGGAACAGGAACGGACGGGATCAGGATGGGATCGCGTTACGGCGGCGTAGGAGGCGGAATGGGATCGGGCCAAGAACGGAGTGGGTTAGAGTGGGGTTGGGTGGTGTGATGAGGTCGGAGCAGGACCGGAGGGGGTCAGGATAGGGTCAGAATAGGACGACGTGGGAGGTGGAATGGGATCGGAGTGGGGTCGGAGTGGGATCGGGTGCGATCGGAGTGGGGTAGGGATGAGATTGATTGGGGTCAGGGCGAGGGTGAGGGTGAATGGAGTGACAGTCGGGACTCAAGATGGATGATTGATGAGGTGGGACCAGAATGGGATCAGGTGGAGTGCGGTCGGAAGGGGTCGGGATGCTTGGTACGATCGAAGCAGGAGCGGAGGGGATCGGGATGGGGTCGAATTAGGTCGGCGTGGGAGGCGGAATCGGATCGGGTGGGGTCGTAGCAGGGTAGGGATCGAGTGGGGTTGGGACGGGATAGGAATGGGATCGAGTCGGGTCGGAACGGGGTCGGGATGTGAGTGACAAAGGGGTGGGGGTCAATGGTCGGGATGGGCCAGGGATAGGAGTCAGTGTGCATGAGAGCGGCCGAAGACGAACGGGAGAGGAAAGGAGATAGTAGAAGGAGAAGACGATTGGAGTTAATGGCTATTCTCACAACGTTTGAACTTCCATGGCTGCTGGTGTGGACGACAAACGGCTCCTTCTTCCTGGTCTTCTTCTCGCACACTTCCACCAAGTCTTGAAAGGGCCCTAGGCGAGCGCGTGAGGCGCGCGCACGTGGCACTGTCTAGGCGTGCACACGTGGCTCTGCTCAAATCGTGACAGCAGTCGCTCGCACGTGAAACGACTATGGCGGGCCTCGGTATGGACGTCTCTGCTGATACCAAGGGCGCGGATTTGGCGCAGCGTTGCGCTAACCGGACGGCGGGCGCCTCTTCAGATTCCTCCTCTTGCGCAGCCGTTTCTCAAATTGCAATCATTTCAAGTTGTGCTGCCCTTCCTCAGTTCGCAATCCTTCCAGAGTGCGCAGATGACGGCCAGCTGAGAAAGAGCGGCCTGTAAACCGCCAGTTGTTGGGCTCAGTTGCTAAAACAACATGAAGAACAGATAACAGCAGATGGCGAGAAAGTGGGGGATGAATGAAGGACTGCAGGAGCACCGAGTGGCCATGAAAGCGGCACCCTGGGTGTGTGCGTAAGAAATCACCATACACCTAAGAGCAAAGCTGCCCAGGTTTCTGTGGTTAAGTGCCAAGTGGCCACAAGGGCCACAACACCCATCTGCGGCACAGGGCACACTTGCAAATACGAACAAGGGGGCAGGCTAGAAACACCACTCGCCAACCTTCACACTCAGCAGACAGAGGCAAATCACAGGCCAGTATGTCCGACCATTTTGCATAAAACAAACGCCAATCAACAAAAGCATCACCACTCCCCAGTCAGCCATTTATAAGCACCACCCCTCCCCAGTCCGCCATGTATAAGCACCACCCCTCCCCAGTCAGCCATGTATAAGCACCACCCCTCCCCAGTCAGCCATGTATAAGCACCACCCCTCCCCAGTCATTCACGTATAAGCACCACCCCTCCCCAGTCAGCCATGTATAAG